TTCACAAAGAAATGTGCAGCATTTTGTCCAAGCAATAATAAAAGGACACATTTATTTTATAATTTGTCTTAAATCTCATTTTGTTAAAAAAAAAAAATTGTGAATTTTTACCATTAAGTAACGTGTGCATTGTTTTGCTTACTTGTTTTTGACTTCCTGTTTGTTGCTATCGTGTGTTTTGAGTTTGAGCTCCGTCAAGTTAATTCTTTGTCGTCTAATTTTCTATTTTAAAATCAATTTTATACACCATCATTTTCGTTTATATAACGTGTGAATATATCCCCTATCGTATCCTACAACAAAAGCAATCAGAGCGCCTTGTTATCACTAGTTTTATTTTGATTTCCCGAGTCCGCTATTAGCAAATAGCCCGCTAGCATCGCCAGCGTGGTTGCCGCTAATCTCGCTTACATTGCTAATACTCTATTCACACACATTACCATTGTTTTACTCACTTTTACTTGCTTTAATGGCGGATGTGTGTCTACCTTTGAGTGCAGGTGAAGACACGTTCGAGCTGCTTTCGGTGCAGCTCAAGCTGGAGGCCGTGGAGAAGCAGGCCCAGCTGAGAGAGTAGTGAGCTGCGCTGGAAACATCCTGGACTGACGCTCACAGGTCATAAGTATACAGTGCGCTGCTAACTCTCCCACCACCTCTACTCCATGTGTTTCTCTGTACAGGTCCTGTGCACCCAGGATGCGATCTTCCCAGATGTCCTTCACTCCGGCGCCGGGACACCACGGACCCTGGGTGCAGCCGCAGCGGAAGACGCGAGCCAGGCCCCGGGCGACGACCTCTCCGCCTCCAGTCTTCGAGATCTCCTCCCGGAACCGTTTCGCTCCAATCCGCGAGACGGAACATGATTCTGTGATCATTGGAGACTCCATCGTCCGGCACATCCGTGCTACGTTAGCTGAAGGTAAAGTGCACACTCACTGTTTCCCTGGTGCTTGTGTTCTCAATGTTTCTGTGCAGATACCCGCAATCCTGAAGGGCGACAAGAGCCCCGGAGCGGTCGTGCTTCACGCGGGGGTTAACGACACTAAGCTGCGGTAGACGGAGACACTGAAGTTGGACTTCAGGAGCCTGATCGAGATGGTGCGATATGACTAGTAAGCCAATTCTCAAATAACTGCCATGATGGCTTTTGTTCTATCCGCTTAAATGATAGAAGTACTTGCGCTGTCCAATCTATAAAGTGTCTGTTCCCCGAATAGTGAGCCCAAAATATCAATTTAATGCAGCATCTAGAAAAAATCTGATCGTGATTAAACCAGAAAAATGTAAAATAAATGAACAAAAACAAATTTTAAAGTTTGGGCTCCTAAACATTAGATCACTCGCACCCAAAGCAGTTATTGTAAATGGAATGATCACAGATAATAGATTTGATGTACTCTGCTTGACTGAAACCTGTCTAAAACCAGATTATATTGGTCTAAATGAGTGTACTCCACCAAGCTACTGTTAAAAGCATGAGCCCCATCAGACTGGTCGTTGCGGCAGTGTTGCAACAATACAACTAGACGGATGTACTGTTACTTCCTCTACAGTCAAAAATCTGTTATATTAGACAACAACTTGTCTTTGCTCTGCACTGGCTACCTATTAAGTTCCGTATCAGTTACAAAATATTATTACTTGCCTATAAGGCCCTTAATGGTTTAGCTCCTGCGTACCTAACTAGTCTTCTACCAGGCTACAATCCATCACTCTCCCTAAGGTCGCAAAACGCTGGAATTTTTGTAGTACCTAGGATAGCAAAATCCACTAAAGGAGGTAGAGCTTTTTCACATTTGGCTCCCAAACTCTGGAATAGCCTTCCTGATAACGTTTGGGATTCAGACACACTCTCTCTGTTTAAATCTAGATTAAAGACACATCTCTTTGGCCAAGCATTCAAATAATGCATCTCATAATCTTGTACTGCTGTTATATCTGATCAATTGTACATTATTATTGTTTAGCTTGGGTTAAACAAATAAATTTTGCTTGGTTGGAACAGCAGCTACGCTAAATATGTCTCTATTTGTTTCTCTGTTTCTGCCACGGGATTGACAACTGCCCCTCAGAGGACCTCAGATGATGCCAACCCTGAAACAACATACAGAACTACCACATTTTGCTATAAGTTTGATTGCATCATAATAATTGCTGTTAATAGTGTTCATCGTCTGTTTGATTACGTCTTTAATAGATTTTCCCGTACATTTCTGCTATATGTACATTATCTGACAGTCACCACTGATAAGCTACTACTAAATATTGTAGAAACGTAATTTTCTGTAAAGATGCTTTGCAACGATTTGTATCGTGAAAAGCGCTATACAAATAAACTTGAATTGAATTGAATTGAATGTTGTGTTCCTATGACAGACGCTTCAGACCAGCGTTCACCAAACTTGATCCTGGAGGGCGTTGTAGCATTTTTCAAAACTGTGGTGAGAACTAACCATGCTGAAACAGGAGGTTTCCTGACCCTTTAAGGCAGTGGTTCTTAATCCTGGTCCTCACGACCCCCGCTTTGCATATTTGGCATGTCTCTCTTGTTTAACACCCCTTGATTTAGATAACCAGCTCGTTTGAAGAGAGCTCCATGATGAATGAACTGTTCTGATTGACATGCTCCCTACATAGAGTTCACTGCTCTCTATTCCCTGCACACGGGAAATTGGCTGAAGTTTACGTCACTTAAAAACACAGATTTGCATGACACCACTGTCTGCAGCGTCTCCACACACAGACAAAACTTACTCCAGAAGTGTGAAGGGTTATTTAACCGTAATCATAAGATTTGCATAGAAGTCACGTCTCGCGCACATTAATACCCTTTGAATGTAACATATACACTTCTTTCGAACTGGAATCATGGCAAAATATCCTGTGATGTCCACTTTGCAGGGCACTTACTCATGTTCATGTACAGCAGCACCACACGCATGCATCGTGATACTTTTCAAAATGGTGCCAGGGTGAGGCGGAGGAGAAAAATTGTTGAATAAAGTCATTATTTTTGTTTTCATTGCGCACAAAAAGTATTCTCGTAGCTTTGTAAAATTATGGTTGAACCACTGATGTCACATGGTCAATTTTAACGATTTCCTTACTATGTTTCTCAGGGCCGTGCACAGACATTTTGAGGGGCAGTGGCCCAAACCAAAAAAGGGGCACTAGGGGGGTGGGTGCTTGTTAATACAAATGATCCAGTTGTTACAAATATACAATTAAAAGAGAAGACAGCACACTCTGTAATAATTTCAGACTTTATTGTAGATGTTTTGATAAGAATGGGATCTCCCTCACTCTCTGAGCCTGCCCCCGTTTCTTGGCAACTGTACACTTTTACTGTCATGTGACCATGTATTTTGGAACTACCCATCATTTCTGCCAGACTGTGAAAAGGAGAAACATATGGGGGGAATGGAAGGCACCCATTTACTTTAAAAACTATTTTTGGCTTGTCAAAGTAAAATTTTAGCATAACATATGGTTGTTACATCAAAGCAAACTGATCCAGGTCTAAAAATATTTATGATACTGATATTTATGAAATTGAGTCAGCATTTTAACTTACCCCATCATAAGGCACTGTAGTTAAGTTAAATATCTGAATTATAAATTGGAATTTTAATGTGATTGTCACAGTTATGAACTATTGTGTTTGTGTCATTATGTTCAGGTGTGTCTTGTCAATTATCCTCCCCATATAAGTTGTATTCAGTTCAGTGTTTCTTTGTCCGGTCTCGTCAACGTGTACGTGTTTCTTAAGCCTTCGTGTTGTGGATTACCTTGTGTGGATAATATTAAAGACTTTTACTTTCAACTTCGTGCGAGTTCATTCTACAAAGAACCGTGCTACCCCTAACCCGGGGCAAACTGAGCCATGGGAACACTTTTTTTTTTGTATAAGAAGCCATATTTTTAGAACCCTTTGTCATAGATGCATACTGATCATTTAAAATGATAGAAATACTTTCATTAGGATAGGATATAGGATAGATACTTTCATTGTACTTCTGCATCATTTTAACTTATCTTGAGGACCACATAAGTAAAAAAATGGCTAATCTTACCCCACTCTCATATGATCGAGTACAATAATTTGATTAGACATTCTAATTCTAAGAACGTGGATATTTTGTTGTTATCACTTTTAAAAGACAGAGAGCAAATCATTACCGACAGAAATACAAAAACAAACTACCAAATTACTAATTTAGCGAATCATCCACTGACTGTAATGTGGATTGTAAAGCATCTACCTGTTAATGCAACGACATTGGGAACTGTGGTCTCCACTCCAGAGAGCAGCACACAGACCGTGAGAAATGCTGTGGAGCGGACGGGAAAACACGGAGCAGATTACCGGAATCAGCGGATCTTTAGCGGAGCGGGAACAGACCCGTTTGAGCTGGGGTGATGGGGGGGGGATTGGTGAGAGGGGCAACTCAGCTGATGAGGGCAAAGGGGCAGTGGCTCTAGCCACCGGGCCACCCCCCTGTGCACGGCCCTGATGTTTCTGTATCTTGACCATGGTAGTACCCTTGCTGTCTATGGAGGTTCAGAGAGCTCTCAGATTTAATCAAAAATATCCTAATTTGTGTTCCAAAGATGAACAAAGGTCTTACTGATTTGGAACGACATAAGGGTGAGTTTTGAGTAATGACAGACTTCTCAGATTTGGGTGAACTATCCCTTTAACCACCATTTGCACCCTGGGCGCCACAGCAAAAATGACTGCCCGCTGTTCCAGATGTGTGAGTATGGGTTACACTTGGCCTCCACATCACTTCACATTTATTTTCTTTTTTTTTTTAATAACTCTGCAAGTACCTTGTTATTTTATGTTTCAACCACAGATAGCTAGAAAAATGCATGCAAATAACTTCAAATGAATTAATTTACAGTGCATTCTATTATAGATGTCCATCTATATTTCATAGCTCTTGAAATACTTTGCTGTAATTATGTAATTTTCATGACCAGTTAAAATTGGTCTTTTTTTTTAATCCATATGTAACTCTGAGAAATTTACTAATACGAGAGGAAATATTCTGTACTAAAATTTGGGTACTAACAAGTAGGCTATCTTGCTTCATATATTTTAGGGACAAATGAAGGAGAGTGAGCCATCAGATGTGATCTTATCTACAACCAAATTTCTCATTTGTTTACAGGCTTTCCACCAATATCAGAATAGAATCTAAATACCACCTTAAATCTAACAACACTCTTTTCCAGTGTCTTTTTTTTTTGTGTGAATGAGATGTTGTCATATAAAGAGAGTGTAGTTTTAAAACTGTACTTTGTCTCCATCTGCTGGTCAGTTTTGAAATTTCTAACTTTATTTCAAACGTTTTCCAGATAGGTCGTTATGTGCCATCTATTGTTTGTATCCATCGTCGGTAATGAGAAATGCATAGATTTGCAAACTATGTTAAATATGTTTCTTTCTTTCTTTCTTTCTTTCTTTCTTTTTCTTTTTACATCTCCCCATGAAATCACATCCAAGTACTAGCTGAGATTGCACAATCCTGAAAGCCCGCCCAGCTCAAGCAGCTTCTTAAATTGTACCTAACTTCCTAAAAGTGAAAGTAGACTTTCTCCAAATCTTCAGTCTCAGCAAGCTGTAAGTACACTTCTGTTAATTCATGAACTCAACTTGCTCGAACAGCTTGGTCATGCTAATTGGAATGTGGCATAATTGTGAATTAAATTTAGTTTTATTAATTCATTGCTATAGGCTAATCAAGATGTGGACATAGAAATGTTGAAGATGTATAAGAAATATAAATATGCGTTTTATTATATGAATGAAATGAATGCATTCTTTAAAAAGTAAAATTTTATCTCAGTTCAAATATTATCCTGAGTAGCCTCTACCTGGGCACTTTCTTCTCAATACCTCTATTTTGGTGTTGAATTCAAACATTTGAAAGTACTGAATCAAAATCAACACAAATCACTAACTGCAAAGACAAAGGCCTCTTTGAAGCAAAGTCTTGCTCAATAGTGATACGAGTTTAACTTGTCCCTGTTCCTTAGAAACAGTTGGGAACTAAACCATGCTGCTTTTGTGTGAGCAGCCAACCACCTGAAAAAAAAAATTTCATCATAAAAACATCCTTAAAAACTGCATATTAATTGATAAAATATAATGCTATTTTAGCTGAAGAACACACGCATTTCCTGTACGTTTTTAAAAGCATGCAGTAAACAGCATGTAACTGATTGCAGATTGCAAGATTAAAATTAAAAAGAGAGATAAAATAGGGAAGTTCTTATTTGTTTTGCTGAGAAAAGGCAAGATACTATTAACAGCTATGATTTTATTTTTTTCCCAGAATGTGTTGCATCTTGTGATAACACAAAATGACAGCTATTGAAGTCCAGGGAAACCCACAGACATCGAGACCTTGCAGATCAATGGGTCTATTTAACAATATCAAGGTAAGATTCCAAATATAATGTCTCAGGTTACGTATGTAACCATGGTTCCCTGAGAAGGGAATGAGACACTGCGTCCTCTAGAGGTTGCTATGGGGGAACGCCTTCAGCATGACTGGTGTCTGAAGCATACATCTAAACATGACAATAACATTGGCCGGCGACAGCCTGTGACGTCATCACAGTATATAAGGGCGCAGGGAGAACATGTCATCCGCTTCTTTGTCTGAAGCTTATGTCTGAAGCATGGCAGGGGAACTAGAGGACGCAGTGTCCCCCTTCCGAGGGAACGAGACACTGCGTCCTCTAGAGGTCGCTATGGGGAACGGTATACCCATGCCGTTATGCTGAGAGGAGTGCATGCCAGAAACCACGGCGAGCACTAAGTACCAACTCTACCATAGCCATGGGAGTTGCCCCAAGGACGTCTTGACGGCTGTCAGTGGCATTATCCCCTTCGGCCAAGGGCCTGAGCTGCATACCCTAAAATAACTTACCTGTTAAAGGTGCCATAGAATGGAAAACTGTGTTTACCTTGGTATAGTTGAATAATAACAGTTCTGTACATGGAAATTACATACCATGAGCCTCGAACACCATTGTTTCCTCCTTCTTATGTAAATCTTGTGCATGCAAAAGACTATCACCAGCCTGGATCCAGTACCGATGAGTGAAACCGTCATTATAATCGGTCAACAGCAGGAGGTCCTGACTTATCAGGGGGGTCAAACCTAAAAAGTCAGAAAACAGAACAGGTCTGAGTAGCGTTGCAGAAAGGATTAGTTTCGAATACACAAAAACTAGCAGTAGAGTAGATGAAATGGATCATACTCACCAACCATGGCTCCTGCGCATGACTCAGGCTCATGGATATAGGCTGGAGGTGAAGTCCGAAGAGCACTGGGGTCCGGACTATCAGTAGGTATTTCTATGAGACATAGAAACTAGCCAAAACATCATAGGTCCAGCATAAGAGACTGCAATGCAAGCGCAGGAAGCTCCTACTTAACCTCAGTCAGGAGGAAACTTTTTAGGGGAATTAAGGGGAGGAAGATGAGAGCAGATGTAATACTCTCAGAGGGAGGTGAGTAGATGGCTCAGGTTTTACTTTGGTCCAGACGAGAGTATTGAGAACACCTAGTCTGGATCACCTCCCTCAAATCTTGCCTGTCACCCTTAGACCCACGCCCCTTTTGAGCCCTACCCGCAGGCAGGGCAGGGGCACGAGTTGCGACACTAGTCTTCTGAGCCTGCCTTTGATCCTTAGATTGAGACGGGCCGGGACCCCTTTGTTGTTCGGGCTAAGACCTGGACCTTCGTGGAATGAAGAATTTGAAGGCAGCAAAGCACGTCTTGGCCTCCTTAAACTTCTCGACCACTGTCTCGACGGAAGTGCAGAAAAGCTCAGAAGGGGAAACTGGCGCATCAAGAAGAAAGCCCTTCCCTTTCGACCCGATATCTGCCAGATTCCCCCACAGATGTCTCTCCATAACCACCATGGACGCCATGGATCTGCCAATGGCAGTGACAGCCTGCTTAGTGGCACGGAGAGCAAGAACTGTGGTGCGACACAACTGACCTTTATCTAGGTCTTTCAGCAGATCAGCCTGATAAGCCTGAAGCACCGCCATGGTATGCAACGAGGCAGCAGCCTGACCCGCTGCCGCGTATGCCCTGCCATTCAAACGAGATGTATTCTAAAGGGGTTTGGACGGCAGGTAGGGAGCCTTAAGAGAAGATGTCTCCCCCATAGAGAGATAGCAGGCCAGTGTCTCTTCAACAGGGGGCATCTTCTCATAACCATTCTCACGCATCCCCTCAATGTTGGCATAACTAGTATGCTGGAATCTATGGATGTGAGACGAGAATGGATTTTTCCAAGACTTCTCTTCACGTATGAGCAGCTCATCATAATAGGAGGATTGGGAGGACTCAGTCTCGACTTCGTCCTCATCTGACATCTATTGCTCATCCTAGCTTTGAGCCAGCAGAGCACCAGCCGCTGGATCAGACGATATAAGAGAGATATCATCGTCGTCCAGCAGCTCACTCTCGTGCTCTTCGCCCAAACAAAAGACGCAAAGATCGTGTGTGTCATCAGGTGTCAAGTAACAAGGACACGGATCCACACACTTCTTAATCGCCTTATTAGTGCTCAACATGGTAAAGAAGAATCGTTCTTACCGGAAATGCACACTTCAAACAAAACAGGCCTTGAAGACGAAGAAGAGGATGACGTGTTCTCCCGGCGCCCTTTTATACTGTAGTTGCACCGGGTGGTGATGTCACAGGCTGTCGCCGGCCAATGTTATTGTCGTGTTTAGATGTATGCTTCAGACACCGGTCATGCTGAAAGCATTCCCCCATAGCGACCTCTAGAGCAGTGGTTCCCAACCCTGGTCCTGGAGGCACCCCAACACTGCACATTTTGTATGTCTCCTTAATCAAACACACCTGATTCAGGTCATCAGCTCATTAGTAGAGACTCCAAGACCTGAAATTGGTGTGTCAGAGAAAGGAGACATGCAAAATGTGCAGTGTTGGGGTGCCTCCAGGACCAGGGTTGGGAACCACTGCTCTAGAGGACGCAGTTCGAAGTTCCCTCAGAAGGGAACCCCTAATTATATTCATAGAAGTATGACTTCTCGAATTAAAGTGTCCAGTGAGACAACTTTCTCCACATTAGGAAAAAGCTAAATCATGCCAAAATATACGATAAACAATTTAATATGCAATACATGATTTAATATGCAACAGAGAGAGAGGTGCATGTAATGTTTTGTAATTAAACATTTGTAATGATGAAGCTGCAATTTAGTAAATGTAAAATATATTAGCTTTAAAGTGCCCCTATTATGGATATTTCAAGTTGACGTCAACATGAAACATTAGCATATTTATGCCCGCCCACTTGTTGCACGCGCAGACCCGGGAAAACTTGAACCTCCCCTCCCCTCCCTCAAACACCGTAGCGGATTCTAGGGATGAGTGATACCTCTTATTTTATTTTCGATCCGATACCGATATTTTCAAGCCCAGTATCG